TCAGTTGACTGAGCCAACTGGGACTAATGTTGCTGGGGACACAATGATGATAGAGGACACTTAGAGAGTTTCTTCGCCCTCTCTACTTTTGCTCTTATTTTGTTAAGCATTGGGGACGATGCTTACCTTTATTAGGGGGTGGAGTTTATTGATCATATTTGGTACATTCTAAGACATTTGGCCTGTAATAACTTGATATTATTTTCTTTTTCTTTCTTATTCTGTATATATTCTATATTTTTCTCTCATTANGGGGGGGGGGGGGAGGGATGGATGGAGCCTATTTGATACTCATTGGATACATTTGGATACTTTGGAATGTAATAATTGGATGATTCTATTTTATTTTTATTTGATCTATCGTTAGTGGTTTTTACTTTCATTAGCTTCTTTATTTGTTTACATTGATGTTGTTTATGCTAGTAGTTTCTTTTTACGATAGTAGATTTTAGGTTGTTCTTAGTAGTGTGGATAATAAGCCTTTAGTTTTCTTAATGCCACATTCTTTCCAAAGGTGGTCTTTTGTGTGAACTAGGTGACTCTTCCCGAGGATGGATGGTGTGACAACTTTCTTAAGGGAATGAGTCTGTTTTGTGTTTAGGTAATAATAGTAATAAGTAGTAATGAATAAAAGCCCTAATCAAGTCATTCTCTAAAAAGAGTTATTCATGTTTCATTTGGCACCAATACACTTAACTACATGCTTATGCTTTGAAACAAGGTTTTGGAAGAAAATAACTCTAGTTAGTGACTTGGAAGTTGTTAATTTGACGTTGATAATCATTGAGTGGTTGATTGGACCATAATGATCTTTAGCTTGATTGTGATCGTTGTAGGCTTTGGACTCTATCCTCTTTTATGGTCTAATTGCATGAGAGGTGAGGTGATTTTTTGTTGGTAGTCCAAGTGCTTGAGTGGATAGACTAGAACTTGCCCCAAATGTGTTTCAAGACAAAATTCTAGGTTTGCTTGGTTTGGAAGATGATTGTAGGCTTTCCTTGGTCCGTTTGAGCTTTCTATTGCCACCTAGGTTTGTTATCCCTAGTAAACCCCTTTGAGAATTTAGCCCTTCTTTGTTGTTATCCATACTACAAGCCTTTACCCATTTTGTCTATAATTCTCTCTTAGCACCCGGACCTTCCTTAACACCCTTATGAAATAAATAGCTTAAGGCATAAGTTTGGGAGAAAAGTTGAGGAATCTAAAAAAAGGTACCAAGGGACCAAAAAGAAAAAATAAATGATCTCTATGAAAAGAGAAGGCAAGAAAGGAAAATAACAAAAAGAAAATGCCAAAAATAAAATAAAAAGGGAAATTGATGAAATCAAAAGGATGTAACTATCTCTAGTTTGAGCATCAAAGGAGAAAAAGAATGAAATGAACAATAAAGAGTGATGGCAAGTCTCTCTATCCCCCAAGAAGAAGAAATGTCTCTAAGGGTTGGTAAATGTGAGCCAAAAAATAAAAAAGTGGAGTGCTTAAGAAAGGGTGTAACGACTTATCTCATATGGTATCCTACCCCAATCCAAAACCCTTCATTACAACCCGAAAGAAGTCCTACTTGATTTTGAACCGAGTGAACTTACATTAGTGGAGATCTACATGAGGGGCAAGCCTATGGTACTTGAAGCCTTACTTGTGACGTTCATTCGTGAGAGAAGAGTGAATCCTTCATTACTATAGAACTTTACTGTTAATTCTTGAAGTGAGCATGGCAAATAGAAGGTAGAGGAGGAAGAATTTGAAGTCCACCATGATTTACATGATAGAACAAGAGTCCTTGACGAGTGAAGTTAATTCTTGAAGGTCAAATGTCACACTAAAGTTATATGCACATAACATATGTTTTGTCACCTTGTTGATAATGTATGAGTATTGTGGGTAATTGTTGGTCCCAACTTAGTATGAATGGCTTATAATTGACTCTTTAAAATGACCTTTAACTTAGAGGAGGTGGGAACTAATCTATTTGTTTGAGGACAAGCACATACTTAAGTTTGGGGGAGTTGATAAATGTGAATTTTAACCACTCATTAGTACCTTCTTCCTTTACTTTTAGTCCGAAAGTATTAATTTTTGTTCCCAAAACTAATGAAATTATGTGAATTACAGGCATGTTGGAGAATTGAAACTAAACGGAGAAATCTAACTCAAAAATGAGTATTCTAGCTCAAAAAGGCAAGAAGGAGAAATGTAGGCAGAAATGAGATTCACAGAAGTAATTCTGTGGCTGTAGGAGATTGTGCGGTCCGTAAAAACACATATGCAGCCGCAGAAAGAGACCTGAAGCCTCAGAGGAGTTTGAAGAAACGTGGTCCGCACACCAAATTGTGAGGCCGCAAAATATGGTCGAACTGACGAGATTTGAAACGTTCAGAGAAAGTGCAAAAAGACCAAGTGTAAAGCCTTATCAAAGTGCGGTCCGCAGTCAAAAAGTGAGGCCGCAGAGACTGAAGTGCAGTCGTAGATAGAATTGTGCAGCCATAGAATTCCTCCCAACCTGGGAAAAGAAGAAAAGCGCGGACCGCATATAGAATTATGCGGCCGCAGACCTCCCGAAGGGTATTTTTTTCAGCGAATTTCTGGGCACTATAAATAGATGGGAAATACTTTTTTAGGGCAAATTTTGTATTCTTAGCAGCTGTAGCGGTTATATTTTACCCTTTTGGAAAAGTAGTGACAAATATTGGTGAAGAATTATTAGTTTTATCAATTAATTATAGTTTATGATTTTAATTACTTTTTCTACTTTGTTTTCTTTGATTTCTAACATGAGTAGATAAATTTTATCTAGGGTTGTGACCCAACCCTAGTGTGTAAACCTTATAGGTTATTAATTTTAATACTTCTTTATGATTGGGTGTTTATTATTTAGCCTTGTTTATGTATTATTTCTAGAATACCTATTTGACTTAGTTCTTACTTGAGAAAGATGAACCTAATCTAAGAAAACTTGGCTAACAAGAAATTGAGCTAGTTAAAGTTTTGGCTAGTTTGATTAAAGGGTTTGAACTAGAGATAGAAAAAACCCGACTTGGACTCATATCAATTATTTGCATTGCTACCCATTGGACTTGAGAAAGCCAATTTGGACATAACCAATCTATAACCGAGAGGTATTGAGTGGGTACTCGAGAATTGAGAGTTATAATACACCCATATCTGCAAAACAAGCATTAACTTAGTTTACCCATTAGGTTTGCACCTGGGTGAAGGTTACACCCGTAGGCTTTTTCCCATTTGTTTAAAAATACCAAAAATAATTATTCTCTTTTTAGTTACTTTTAATTAGATTAATATCATAGTGTTAACTTGGATAACAATCACTCTTTATTTGAAACCGTAATTTAGTTGTTTCACATACTCTCTTCAAGTATCTACCTTAACACCTTTCATAAACTCCATGAGAAATTCGACCCCGACTCTAGTTGGGTATTATAATTACAACAATAATTTTCACACACTATTGAGTGCGGATTGGACGTGGATCAGTCCTCTCCTCTCCTCAAAATATCCATACCCCTCCCCATTCACCTTAATGCATATCATTATCATTTGAATAAATGAATTTGAAAATCTATACCTAACCAATGGCTTCTCTATAAAGTCCTAACTAACGATGTCATAGGCTTTCTTCAAATCAATTTTCACGAGGCACCTAGTTGTTGTCTTCCTGTTGTAGTACCTCATAAGATCATTACATATAAGAACATTGTGAATCAAAGATCTTCCCTCCGCAAAAGCAGCTTGTGGAGTGTGTCTTTATTTTAGGACTCTTATATTACATATATTGCTATAATATTTGTATATGCGTTTTATTAAATCATATAAGTATTTAGTATCATTTAATGACTATTCTACCGTTCAACATGGTATATGTAAGATAAGTTGCATAATGTTAATGTTCTTTTTATGTATTTATTTGAATTGAAGTGGTAATTTTTGAATCGATTTTAAACTTTTAAATATTATGACTTCTTGTATAGTTCAAATAAAGATGAGTATAATAAAAAAAAACTTAGTGGATTTTAAAGTCTTAAAATTAGGAAAATAATTAAATGACTATTTTGTGTAGTGTGAAATCTATTTTAAAAGGCAAAAAAGGCGAACGATATTTTACTAAAGGCCTTCGTACTTTTATACGGTATAAATAGATTATAGAAAATAATAAGCATGAGTTAAGAAGGCCATTATCTTTGATTTTTTACTTTTTTTTTTTCAAACAAAGAGAAGGCCATTATCTTTGATGTAAATCTTATTGTTTAGTCCAATAAGTTTCAATATTTTCACTTTAGATAATTTATCCAGAATTTCGAACTAGTGTTACAAGCAACGCAAAGTAAATTTTTACTTTATCGGGTTTAACCTTTTAACAACAATCTCTAGTTGAGAGTCTCATTCCTTCTCTTAGTAGGTCCGAACTTCGTTGCCAACTTTATCTAGTAGAGGATCATATTAAGGGTCAAATGATTTTCTCTCTTCTTCCGGACTTCTATGAACATCAAAGGGTACATTGTCAAAAAGGAACTAATAGCCTGTTTAGCTAAACTTTTAAAATCATCTTATTTAAAAAGTGCTTTTCTCAAAAGTACTTATGTTGAGAAATAACTTGTGTTTGACTAATTAATTTGGAAATTTTTTTGAGCAATAATTAATATTTGGCCAACCTTTTAAAAAATACTTTTAAGTGTATTTTTCTCAAAAATACTTTTTAAAAAATACTTTTGGGGATAAACTACTTTTTTCTACTTCTCAAAAACTACTTCGGCTTCTACTCAAAGTACCCTTTTCCTTCTAAAAGATTGATCAAACAACTTAACTTTAGAACAAAGTATTTTGATTAAAAAGGAAGAAGCTCTTTTGGCCAAATAGGCTACAAAAGAGAAGGAAAAAAAGTCAAGTACCAAATGGTAGTAAAATAGAGTTAAAGGAGGATATTGCATTTATTAATAGTTTGGGGGCCTCCCTTCCCTCTTATTTGCATCTAGATTTTTTACAAGCTCCTTTCTCCCATTTCATGAAAAAAGAGAGTCGCATTTCTCCTCCCTGAACGGTGCAATGGTCTCACTGCTGCACCCGCAGGAAACCGTGCTATAAAGGTTAAATATTCTTCCTATCTCTCTCTGCTACTACTATGGACCTTCTCCTTCCCATTTCAGTGCGACTCTCTGCATTTTCACGCGGTTCCCTATGCGCTCTTTCTCCGACGAATTCTTTCAATTCTCGCTCTTTTCCACATCAGAGAATTAGAATCAAAGTGAAATGCAGCCCCGAGCCTATGCGAGCGGAAACCAACTCGAATTTCATCAGCAGAGACAGTCAAAAATGCGAAGGGAATCGTGAAAATGATATGCAGGGAGAAGGGTTAAAAAATGTGTGGGAAGAGACTGAGTTTGTGGAGGTATTTGGAATTGGCAGCAGGAAAGACGCTCTACTTGACTTCTGCTTGGCTTCACCTTGTCTTTCCTCGGCTTTAAGATTTTGGTATGCTTTCTGATTTTTTTTTTGTTTGGTGACTGTATTTTCGGGTTTATCATGTTAATTTGACTTGTATTAGTGATTGTGGTAGTAAATATTGAAATAATGGTTGAAAGGTTAGTTTGATGGAGAAATATCCAATCAAATTTTAAAAGTTGAATAATTTATTGAATTTTGATTCTTGAAACATAAATGTTTTGGCTCCTTGGTGTTATTTGCCACATGTATGCTATGATATATTTCATTTGTTAGATACCAAATTGAAGAGTTTTCTTGAATGGAGGATGCTCTTTTTTGCGGTGCAGCACTATCTTAGTACTTACCTATTTATTTCTCAAAAAAAGAGGACTTGGATAAGTAATGTTGCTGCCTTTTCCAATCATCCAGCCATTGTGCTGAATAATAAATTGTTGGAAAAATAACTGAAAATATTAACAATATTTATTATGAGCATATACTCGTGGAGCTTAAATCGTGGAATGCATTGTCCTAAGAAACTATTTTAGTAGTATGAAAGTTTCCCTAGGATGATTCTTATCTTCTGATGCTTCAATAATCTAATGCGTTGTCCTAGAATGTAATGCGTTGTCAAAGCTACTTGCAGAAACATAATCATGCAATATTAATTTCTGAAAATGTTACCGACATTCTTGTGATTGCATGTGCAGGAATATTCTCATGAAAGACTCAGAAAAGGTGCTATTACAAGAGAAATTGCCTACAGAAGGTGAAATGTTTTGTTTTCTTTCCTTTCTTTTTTCTCTTTCTTCTCCCTCTTTCCGTCTTTCATCTTCTTACAAAGTAGTAGTAACTATTTTCAGTCCTATTGGTTTAAAAGTTGAATGGGATTAGGTGGTAGTTTTCTGTCACAACGGTTCTTGTGTCTGAAAGAAGGAGATTACAAGTCACGACCCTACTGCTCCCGTCGAGTTATATAGTTGTTTTAAAACTTTACAGAACAGTTTCCAAAGTGGTTTATACAAGTCTTGCCTCAAAGTTTTGGGTTGGATGCTCAAGGTCTTCCACATGGTATTAGAACTAACTTCTAGTAAGCTCGTTTGCACACTTGTAAGTCTGAATTAAAGTCACATGTGAACCCAAATATGTGAACTCCAAAATCTCGTTATACGTGTTGGAATGTATTGAGTTATATAGTTGTCCCACATAGGTTGTTTAAGAGCTTCTAGAAGAGTTTATAAAGGTCTTAGGCGACCCTGCCTATTGTATTAAGGTTTTAGGTTGGATATTCATATACTTCTATAACTTTACTATTTAGGAATAGAGGTATCAAATGGGCGGGTTGGGCCAAAGTTGGACGGGTAAAATGGGTTGAATTAATGAATGCTATTTTCCAAAGGTAGTTTGGGTCAAGATGAGTCAAATAATGCAGTCAACCCATCCAAATTAACTTAACCTCGAGTTTTTTCCTCCTTTATTCTCCATTTTTTACTATACTTTATTTTAGTTGGTTTCTACTGGAAGATCTTATTCTCCTCAGAGTTAATAAATATCCCGTGCAATGAGAGAATTAACAGCTAAATGCATTTTTAAGTTGAATGCAACACAATTACAAAGTTACAAAGTATAGGTGCTTAAAGGTTCAGTCTACTTTTGATGGAAAGAAACTTCAGTCTACTTTTATAAAGTATAGGTGCTTACAGTCTTTGTACTGAAGGTGTAAGAGTAACATGCTGGAAAACACAGCTTTCTTTTGGAATCTTTGGAAGAGATGATGCTGTAACTGTGTATATGTGAACTTGGTCTCCCCCTTTGTACTGTTGTACTACCTTCTTGGTACTAAACATTAATATAATACCTTATAAAAAATAACAAATACATTTCATTTCGAGCAATTATTAGACCAATCTTTTGTCCAGCTTAAAGCTTCAGTTGTATCCATTAAAGCGTATCAGCTCTTAAAGTAGAAAAAGAAAGGAAAACCAAACATCAGGCAGCGATGACAAATTAACAGAAGCCCTGATTAATGGATGTTCACAACGGGAAAATCCTAGATTCCATCAAGTGCAAATCTGTATGGAGCATGGACCGCAAGTTACTTTGTTTCAAGTGACAATTTATGGACCACAAGTTAGTTTCACAGCCAAAATGTATTCCTGTCACTCTCAGGGTGGAAAAAGGCAGCATAGGACCCACCTTGGCTATAGCAGCAGCAACATGACACTGCTGAAGCAAGACGAGAAACAGAGATGTTCAGTTGGAAGACTTGGAACGCTGAATTCTTGTATCAACAATGGTTGATTTGGTCGTCCAACTTGACCCAAAATACCCCGTGTTTGAGACGGGTTGATTCGGGCATAGCCCAAAGTAACGGTGAATGGATCTTATATTTGTCCAACGTATTGAAACTTGGACGTTTGGGGTAGGTTACTATACAACAACAACAACAACAAATTCAGTGTGATCCCACAAATCGGGGTCTGGCAAGGGTAGTATGTACGCAGCCTTACCCCTACCTTGTGCAGGTTAAGAGGCTGTTTTCGCTAGAGGGTAGGTTACTATATTTAGGTGAAGAAGATCCTTGAATATAAAATAGACTTTCTGGATTGACCAACATTGCTTATTAGTTGGGCATCATTCAGTTAGCTTATCAATATTGATCAGTGTTTTCACTTGAAATTTCTTAATCCAGGAGAGTGATATAACACGTATACTCATCACTTAAGCTTTTGCATGCAAACTGGATGTTTTTTCCAGAAACCAACTAGCTGTGCATTCGTAAGTGTCATTTGCAGAAAGTAAGAAAAGAGATGCTGAATACTTTCTCTTATTGATTATGCTGAATAAACATTAGATGTTTATAGAGAATTTCCCACCAGTTAAGTTATAATATCCCACTAAACTAGGCCTAAGAGGATCTTCCTTATCTCAATAGATCTCTTTGTGATGAAATTAAATATACATGATAAGGGATCCATATGCAACTGTAAAATTCTTGGTATCTTTTAGGATGAATCAATCTCCTAGAGTGTCCAACTACTGATCTGTCAATCTTTATTATCTGTTGCCTCCTCTTCCATTCCATCTGTTGTGAACTTAAGCTTTTCTTCACTGTCGTGTTTTGCAGATGTTTCTTCAAGAATTATGGAAGTTCCATCAGCGATAAATTCATGTCCCAAAGCAGTTATACTTGTTTGTACATTCCTCAACTCTTCTGCCTAAGATCTTATTTTATTACCAGTGACCATTGAGTAAAGATACTACCTCATGTTAATCTTATGGAGAACATTGACTTGGATGGGTAACAGAGGGATGTGTTCCCTTGGTTTTCCGCTAAGGCAGTCATGAATAGAGGACAAGAGTCAGGGAATGCTGAGACAATCATGAATAAGATTGCAGACCAAAACTTTTACCTTATCAAAAAAAGAATAAGACTGCAGACCAAGGATAGCTCAGTCCTTAAATAATTTATGTGTATATATCTGCAGTTTAATATCTAGCACTTTTCCTGCTTCTTGTGAAAGTAACTTGAGCATCCTTATGGAGGGCTAAAGTATTGTCGTAATAGAATGGCCCTAGAGCAAAAAAACTATGATATGTGTTTGCTGAAAAGATTTTCTAGTTTAGAGTAGACTGCTTAGGCGTCAACATAAGGTTTCTTCATGTGAATGAATGTCTAAGAAATCATATCTGGAAGTTTGTTCAAAATTGAAGCAAATTAGAAACATAAGAGGTGAAAGAGAGAAGAGGTTGGAGAAAAATATATTAGGAATCTTCCCCTGAGTTCTTCCTCAACGTAAAGTTTTTCCAGCAGCTGCAACACAAGAAGCTTAGAACATGTTAATCAGAGTTAGCAGTGCCTTTTTAAAACTTATCTCCATAAGCAGAAACTGATCTTATATGCTTCACTGCACTTCCTCCTATCTTCATAAGTTAACAAGTGTCTTTCTAAACCTGCATGATTGTTGGTATAATTTATAACTGGTGTATTCAGCCTGATCAACCCTTCAATTTGAGTTGCTGACAAGCACTTGGATAAACTACTTGACTCCAAGTACCTGCCTACCTGTCACAAGCTACACAATGCTACTTTCAAACGACGTTTGAGCCAATAAGCTCCTACAGAGATGTAGTTGCTTTTTGAGGGTCTCTAGTAATACTGCATGTCTAGGGTCGAAACTTTCATAAGAAGAAAATTGGATTATTTCTACCTTAAGAGATACTTTCCTGAAGTTTTTGTGGCTGATGAGACACAGAAATCTGGTTTCCCTCTGATTTACCTTTGGTTTCAAGTAGAGAATGTTCATCAAATAGTTTGGTAGACAATTCAGATTTGAGTATATTTGAAATTTGTGAGAGTAATTTGAACTAAACCTTAGCAAAATAAGAACAGAAGAAGTTAGAATTGGCTTCAGTAATGATTATTGTCGAGTGAAACATTTGTCTGGAGTTAAAAATCTAAATGGGGGCTAAGCTCTTTTGGAAAACTATGCCCCTGCTAGCATAAAAGGAAAATGAAATTTTTGAAAAGATCCTTTGTTATCTGGCACTTTCTTTCCCTTCTCTGTTTTTCCCAATAATTTGTGATATTGCTTATTAGGATACGACATGAAGGAAATTCTTGTCATTGAACCGTATCTTTTTCATTGACTTGTCTTATTTGCTGAAGGTGCAAAAAGTACCTGTAAAAGAATCATTTGCTTTTCGACCATCTAATTTTCAGTTGCTTTCGCTATTTTGTTTGTATGTAGTTGCCAAATTTTCTTCTTGCTTCTTTAGGTGGCTAGTGCAGCTTATGGCACTGATCATGTCCCAGCACTTGATATTATAAGAAGATTAAAGTCCAGAAATGGACTAGTGATTGGCATCATTTTGAAGCCTTTCAGCTTTGAAGGACGAAGACGTTATAATGAGGTATTATACTTCTACTTTGGGAAACCATGCTGCTGAATAAATCTTCTGTTGGAAGGATATTAGGCAAAAAATACAACAAAAATAATTGAGGAAGGAAGCAGGAATCGTTTTTTCATTTTCTCATTGGTTGTAAAGAATTCAAGCCATTTGGCAATGTTTTGTAGACTAGGCAACATTGTGCTACTCTAAACTAATGAAGACTGCCAGGAAACACATTTTTTTATGTCATACCTGTCAAAACTTTGATAAACGTATAGGGAATGTTGGTTGTTTTATGTGGTCATGCATAAAAAAACTTGAAGGCATAAATGACATGGTGTACTATATAGTAGGTCATATGATATGGTAGTATAGAGTACGCAAGAGCATCTAAGGAGATAAGGTTTTTGGACCAACCAAACCATCTCTCTGGTCTCTAATACAGTCTAATTTTTAAGTATGTTCTGGATGAAGAGGATATACTTCGATCAGTGTTGAAGCTTATAGAGGAAGCTGAGAAAAACTTTTAAGAAGGGTTTGAGTAAATATGTGTTGTGTAAATGTACTACAATTGCCAAAGAAAAAAATCCTGTTAATAGTATGAGGTTGTTCTATAACAATGTTAAAGCGCCCAGTTTTCTATGAAGTGAAGATTCTAAACCCTAATCCTAAGCAACCTAGGACTTTATGCTTCCAAAAAAGAAATATTCAAAGGAATAAAATAAAATAAGTCCTTAACTAACATCTCCATCAACAACCAAGACAAAGATAAACTTAAATGGGGCAACAGTAGAGGGGGTTCCTATTCAGTCAAAGAAAGCTATCACAACATGAGCTCTAACAAAGCTTTGATTGACCAGTGGCCATGGAAAGTGGTCTGGAAGGTTAGTGGTTTCTGTTGGATAACACTACAGGGTGCTTGCCTAACTCAGGATAACCTTCTCAGAAGGGGTTTCCAACTTGCCAACAGATGCCATATGTGCCTTAGCAATCATGAAACAATCAATCACCTGTTCCTCTACTGTACAGTTGCAGCAAACATTTGGTCGATGTTTATTTCACTTTTTGGTCTACATTGGACTATGCCTCGGAATGTCAGGGATGCCTTTGTGAGCTGGAGCTCCTGGAAAGTTGAGAAGTCCATCAAGAGAATCTGGTCTATGGTTCCTGCTGTTATTTTGTGGTGCATATGGACAGAGAGGAATCAAAGATGCTTTGATGGCATTTCAACTGCCAGACACAAACTTAAGGCTAGATGTTTAGTTTTACTTTTTTGCTGGGTGAACCACACCCCTGTGTATAACCCTGACCTTTTCTTGGACTTTATCAGCTCCATAGTATTGTAATAGGTTTTTGTCCTTCCTAGGAGCTGATATCTCCTTTTCTTTTGTAATCATTGCATCTTCTGGATGCCTTTTAATTAATATACACCTTACTTCATCAAAAAAAAAAAAAGTCCTTAACTAAAAAAAAAGAGAAGAAGAAAGAATTAGTAGGTTTATAATATAAGTTGAAAGGAAGGTAATCAAGGAAACCCTAGTTTTGGTTGAAGTGCTCGGGTGCGAATAAAACTTGCTATTGTGACTTCATGAGGAGTAGCTGATTCTATTTCTTATTCTTGTCCCCACCTCTGTGCTTAATGTATCATGCATTATGTTTTCTAATGTGGAGAATTGATCTAAGCTTTCTCATTGTCGTATTAATACAAGGTATAAGATCAAGTATATCATAGACGTGTCATCTTTATCAATAGTTATTTTCAAGATAGACCTACAAATGGATTTAGGCCTAGTTTATTGCATTTACTCTGTTTTTTTAATTCGAAATTGATTTTGTAACCCTTTTCAAAATGTTACCAGCTTTGTCTTCTACCAACATTTTTTTATCACCTATTTACAGGTCACGGATTTGATTGACAAACTTCAAAGGCATGCAACTGTCTGTATAGGTCGGTTAAACTTTGCCTATTACTACCTTAGATCTTACATATGCTGTTTGTTACTACAATACTCATCTATTAGAAATCTTAATGACCACATATCTACTGCAGCATTGCTGCCATTATGGGCTATTAAAAGCCTTTGCAGAAATTATCAGCTTTTCTATTAATTGTCCAGCTATTCTGGAAGCAATATTTAACATTTCCTCAATGCATGATATAATGTTTATGCAGATTCCTGAAGCTTTTTGAATCATCACATCTAAAAAAGAATATAAGATTGTCAGCGAGTCTGCCTAAGTTCCAGAGTTGTGATGTTTGTTTATTTGGACTTGCAGTTATTGACACTGATGGTCTCCTCAAGAAAGATCTATTAACTCTGGATGAGGCTTTGAAGACTTCATATAATGCTGTGCTGATGGCTGTTAATGCCATTCCAATTCTTGTGTCTGTAAGTTCTATTCCTTTTTTGATTAGTCTCACAAGTTATTTTTTCTCTCTTTTCTTTTCTTCTTTTTACTGCCATTCTGGCTCTTACTTTCTTAGTCCTTATACAACTTTTGATTGATGATTTATCTGATAGCTGTATGTTTTTGCACTTGCAACAATATCAGGACGACCACATAAAGCTTCTAGATGTGATAGATGGCGGTACCAAAGAACTGAGTGGTCCAGAGCTAATAAAAGTAAGAGTTATCAAATCTTATTTTACATAATTAATTTCTATTGCTGATAAAATAGATTCTACCTGGATTGTATTACCTCTTAGTAATGCATGATAAGTACAATAAGTTCCTATCCTTGGAAATCCGTGATCATATAGAACTGGTAAATTTCTCCCCTCCAGAGGCCACCAAAATTACACATTTTTGGTAACTTATAGATCAGAATATTTTTTATGCCCTTTCAACTTTCGAAAGGTTGAAGTTGCTCCTGTTTGTTAGTTCTTAGAAAAGGAGTCAGTCAAATCTAGGGGCAAAACTGCAGAATAGAATTGTTAAGTGTCCACATGGTGGATGAACTGGGCTATTGTTTCCTTATATGGTCTTGGACAATCCTCACCTCATGAGCTAGCTTTTGGGGTTGGGTTAGGCCCAAGGTCCATTTCTTACCATGGTATCGGGTCAAACTCTTGTGAGCCCTTTGCACAACCACTTTCGCTCGTCATGTCCTGTCGCTACGGTCTTATCTTTGTCACATCAGACCTGCTCTGGGTTTCTGTCTCTCAAATCAGCCTGTCGAGCCACTCCACTGAAATAGCTCTAGGCCCACTAATTAGCTTGTTGAACCTAATCTGTCTCCATCTATTTCAGGCCCACTCTGACTGAGCCTCCTCTTTCTCTACCCTAAAAATGCAAAAAAAAAAAAGATCTTCAATCTGAAAAGAGAAAAGACAATTTATTTTTAGTTCACGTGCAAACTCAATAACCTGGTTGCATGTGTGGGAAGGTTTTAGAGAATACACTTGTCCCTCATTGGTTGTGCAAGGGTATTTAAAGAGGTTTATATAGTCCTGGGCTATTCCACCCATTGCATTAAGATTTTGGGCTGGATGTTCAAATTCTTTCCCCTGGTATCAGAGGCAGGCCATTCCTATTCTTGGTATACCTAATATTGTAACCCTATGTTATATTATCCACGCGCCAGGTGTCCAGTCATAGATGTGGGGGATGTAAGTGTCCCGCATTGGTAGAAGAAATGGGTTGTTGTCTCCTTATATGGTCTTACGCAATCTTCACTTCATGAGCTAGCTTTAGGGTTGAGTCACTTCTTATCTAGGAGTTTAGACTTTAGATGAAAATCTTTTGAAAGAATGGAAAGCAAAGGAAGAAAAAGAAAAGAGAAGAAGTGGAGGAGGAACAGAAAGTAAGTTCATTCAGTTTATATTCAGGCAGATTGAGTTAAATCTTATTGGTGGGCAGAAGAAGAAATTAGTGGCTTTTGGAGTAATTTACACACTATAAAAAGCGGAGCATTTCAAACCAAAAGTTCTGTGAATTGGATTGCTCGCTCTCGGGCATTAAGCCACAAGACTGTTACGGAATTTTATACATTTTCTCTGGTTTTTCGTCTGCTCAAAATTGAAGGGTAGAGTGACTCTTTTCAGATTCTTGAAAGCTACAAAGAGGCAAAGACTGGATTTGGAACTGGCTACAATATCGAAACTTCGATTCTGCGAGCTGTGTATGACTGCCCCTTCCTTGGTCTGGGAGTAAAGGTAAGGAGAAATTTAACTACACTATTAGAATACTTTCTGTAAGCTATTATGATTTCACGTTCTCTACTTCTCTCTCTGTGGTCTTTTGACCTCTATTTGAGGCCTTCATCCTTTTTGCTTACTCGTTCTTTCTCAGGGCTCAAATGGTGTGATTATATGCATTATTGCAAGTTCAGGTGTTGTAAACTCCAGCAATGTGCATAGCATCTTGCACACGTTTCGTCAAACTACTGGATGTAACGGAGACATTGTGATTTCCATTGTCCAGGAACCCAATATGGAGCCAAATTTAATAGTAACTACTTTAGTTACATGTGGGTAAGTTGTCTTAACAAATGGAGCCAATTTTTATTCTTATATGTTTGTTAGAGTAGGTTTAGTTGTTTTATGAGTTCTAACGTGTCTAGGGCCTTTTTGGATGGGTTGTTCATACCAGTCTGAAGCCTTGGCCTAGTGGAAGACTTTAAAGCAAATAAGCATTTACTCAACCACCACACTCAAGGAAGACTAGTACCCTTTGAATAGATCCTTTTGTACTTTGCTTTCAGCGCTTTAATGAATTGATCTCCTTATTACAGCTATAGCCCACCC